AACAATTGCCATGAAAATATTTATAGAAAAGGCAGAGAGAAGGCACGTCGGGGAGATGGAAAAGTGACTGAAGTCGAAATGTCAAGATCAATTATATTACAGACATTTTTTTCTTTTTTTTTTTTTTTTTTTTTTTTAAATATGTAGTAGAAGCACCAGGCTAGATTTGACAGCAATATTCAATGAACGGGTGAATAAAGCATCCAATACAACGTTCATTACACGATTTGTTAGGAACTATTGAATTATACCAAATATTCGTCCAGAGACTCGGAAGCCCTTGAGTTTTTTGATCATGTCAATCATTATCAAATGCCTTCGTGATATCTAAAGCCACAACCCGAGCCACGATGTTTTTGTCTACAGCCTGATATACCAATTCAGTAATAAATGTTATCACATCGGCAAAAAACCTGGAAAACTCAAAGCCACATTGTTTATGCCAAAGAAGGTCATGTGAAGTAAGATACTTCATCAATGAAGAGTCAGTTTTGGGGTTGAATTTTGGCTATTCGAGATCAAAAACACTAATCCCAACATGGGAGAAAAACATTTAGTTTCCTGGTACGTTTTCTGAATGGAAAATTCTTATCATTTTCTACCTTTTGTCAATGAGAGTTGTTATCGTTTCTTGTAATGAAATATTTACTTTGCTGAAGAGTATATCGATTCATAGAAGGAAAATGCAGATAATAATTCCAATAAAATATGAAATAAAGAAAGAATTTATAATTAGAATTCAGAAAACAAGAAGACAATATCGTTCCTCTAGAAAGAAGAGAATGAGGTCAACGAAAATAGTTAATAAAATTATTCAATAAAAGTTAAGAAAACGAAATGTTTCCAATCCTATCTGTAATAATAGGAAAACTGATCACAGAACTCAATATGAGGAAAATGTAGCCTAGACATAGAAAGAATCATAAAAACATTTATTTTTCAGAGCCCCAGAAAACAAAAATAATCGTTCCTAATTTTATATAATTAACGCATTTAATATTAGAACATCTGATAACATAGAGACAAAAATTCCTCATCATATATATTATTAGAAAAACAATTAACTCCAGAAAACTATGGAAACGATAATTGTTCCTGGTTTTGTATTGAATTATGATAAGGTTTAATCACATGAAAGCAGATATCTAGGAAGAAACCAATAATTGTATATCGCATTTAAAATTAGGAAATCCCTTAATTGCAGCGTGTCAGTAAACTCTTATTTTGAAATGAATCCGAATAACATTGAACATGGAAAATCTTATGTCAGAACTTCGGAAAATGAGTTTAAAATGCATATCTCTCTCTCTCTCTCTCTCTCTCTCTCTCTCTCTCTCTTTTTATATATATATATATATATATATATATATATATATATATATATATATATATATATATATATCAAGTATAGGATTGGTGTATACGGAATAAATTCCAATAACCAACAAATACTATTCTTAAAAGATTGCTCAATACAGAGTAGAGCAAATAATAATTTATTCGAAAATTATAACATAAATATAAATAAAATCACTACAAAAATAGCCATTTTGTTTCAACACTTCTGGTGGTGTCTTATCAAGTGATGGTGTTGAATGTAGATAAGACAATTGAAGTGTTGAAACAAAATGGATATTTTTGTAGTGATTTTATGTTATAATCTTCGAATAAATATATATATATATATATATATATATATATATATATATATATATATATATATATATATATACACAATGCTATTAACATTTAAATTAAAGTTTTCATAAGTGAGTGTAATATATAAAATATTGCTTTAGTTTAGCTTTGTTTAAATCCTTCTCTTCCGATTTGGAAAATAAAGCATTAGACCTTTCGGACATCAGTCCATTGTACTAAACCTCTGATTCTTTTCCGTCTTATTCTAAAATCGAATGTTTCTCGTACGTAAAAGGCGTATTTGTTCATTCGAACCTTCTTATGCAAGCGAACTGTAATCTTCGCTTTTTGTTTCGCAAACAGGGAAAAAAAGGAAAAAAGTAGAAACAGTTTCAGCGGACTAAGAAGCCATCGACCGACGATGAATTTGACTAATTCGCTTTGTCTGTCCTCAGCTAAGTGACTGTTGGTCGGGAGTGGGTGTCTGATGGTAAAATACATGACAAGACTCGTTCAAAAGTGCCGTGGCCTGAATTTAATATGATAAGCGAGTCGGACAAAAGATTCAGATGGTTGTCTCCGAGAAGCGATGTTTGGCTTAGTCTTACTGCTTGAGTAATAAATGTAGTTAGTTGCGACTAGCATTGTTTTTTTTTTTTTTTGCCTTGGCTTCAGAAGAGGAGCCTCGCTGTCAACTTTATTGAAGGAGATCCATACCAGATGTGCCATTATCTTCGTACTTTTAAAAAGGACGGCATTGTCAGATCTGAAAAATAAAAGATGTAATTTAGTTATTGCGTTAAACTTTCTGGGTAAAAGAAGAAATAATTTATTTAACTAATAAACTTATATGAATTCCAAAATAGGAACTTAAATTCAATAATATTCAGTAATATAGCGCGCATGTAAACAAAATCTGTCCTATCTCTTCAAATCTCTCTCTCTCTCTCTCTCTCTCTCTCTCTCTTCATCTCTCTCATTCTCTCTGTATATTATTATTCACCCAATACAAGGCCTAGGAACCACTCAAGGTAGAGTGTTACTCAATGAGGTTGTTGTAATGTGTAAAGGAAGGAGGAAGAGCTGCATATTATGATGATAAGTAGGATATATCACGGTTGACTTGAAGTTTGGTTAAAAGTGTAGTGGTTGAGGAAGCATTCTCTCGAGAGTTTCTTCCACAAAGTGACAATTTTGAGGAAGAAGCACTTTTAGTAGAACTTCCTACTTACCAAATGAATACAAAGAGAATGAGAATAAAATGGTATCGGGTACGTGGCATGAATTGGTAAAACTAACGAATGTAGGCCGTCTGAGCCTGAGGCATAGAAATAGCGAGACAGTAGCGAGGGGCTAAATACGTTTCGTCTGTTGAAATGAGATTGCAGAGTAGAAACTCACCATCACCAATATGGCGGCGTAATCGCTTTTGAACTTGATCAAGGCTGGACAGATAGCAATACTGCATTTATTCTCTGCGCTGGCTCGTGTTCTAGAGGTACTGAATAACACAAGCCAGTCTTTGCCGTACTGAGCTGTGAGAGATAGTTCAGACGAGAGAAAATCTGCCAGACTTTCGTCATCTAGATTTTTGAATTCATGCACACAGACACACACAGGCACGCAGACACATACATACACACACACACACATAAATATATATATATGAAACAACGATACATATTTTTATATATCAAGAACTGTATTGGAGAAATTGTAATACAAAGTGGAAAAAGTTTAATTTGTTATGTTCGTACGACTACACATGCGCACGAACGAGAGGTATTGTTAGTTTTAGGGGTGGTGGGGAAGGGGTAATCTAGCCGAATTTATTTAGAGTTTTATTTTTCTTTTTCTTTCCGTCACTTTTATTAGTAGGTATCCCACATTGTAATATAAGTTTTGCCACGTATGGTGAAATGTTTTAAGAACCAGGGTGCAAGTTTACCGTAGATAACCTTACGATTAAAACACTCTGTAGACATCTACGCTCTCCTTTGATCAGAGTAACATTGTTTATGTCAAAATTGTGGTCAGTCTCGTTACAGTTGGCGACCAATGCATTTGACGTATTATTTTGTCCCTGTTTGTGTTCATGTAATGTTTTATTTAGATACATTGAGTCTTCAGCTATATAATTTTGTGACAGTTATTACAGTCGATTGAGTAAATTCCTTCTTCAGGTTTTAGCTTATCGTTTTATTTCGTATTGATTAAGTATTGTTTTGTATGTAGTAGTAACACATTTTATGTTGAGTTAGATTTTTTTCGATTGTAGATGTGATAGAGTTGGTTGGAACAGGATAATATATTTTTTGATTCATTGGTTTTCAGGAGGGACGTTTTTTTGGGGTTTTTTTCTTGTTTTTATTTGGAATATTTTATGGGCCTTTTCATTCGTATTGAATATAAAATAATTAAGGTATTGGAGAAGTTTCAAATTATTTTCAATGTATTTATCTTTTTCGTGTAAATAATCCAAGCTGCATATTCTTAGTGCTCTTAGGTAAAAAGCGATTATTGTATTTTGTTATGACGAGAAAAGAAATTTATTAGGTCGTATTTGTTGCTTGATTTCCGCTGGATACCGAGTTTAAAACTTGTTAATACAGTGTAGCTTGATATTTAAGAAGGTTAAGGAATTGTGTTATTCCATTTCGTATATAAATTCCATTGTGAGTTCGACTTTGTTTAGTTGATCCACCAAGTCAGGTAAATCAGTAGTACTAGGATATATAAGTAAAACATCATCAATATAAAGGAATGTTTGGGTAAAATATTTTGGAAAGGACCGGATTCAAGAAATTCTAAAAAGATACACGCCATCACTCCACAGAGAGGCGATGCTATTGGAAATCCAAATCTTTTCTTTTGTAACAATCATAATTAAATGTGAAGTAGCATTGATTGTTGATGAGACGTCAAATTCCTATTATTTTAACTGTAAGTAGAGAGAGCTTTATCTTCACCTGTATTAGATGCTGTTTTTTAAGAGATTTAGGTATTTTTCAACTAGGATGTTGATGTAGACACTGCCTGGGTTCTTTATGTGCGATAGACTGATTGTTCCAAGGAGAGGGGTTAGAATTGTTGTTATAGCTTTCGCCAGTTCATGGGAACGCTGTCTATACCTGAGATGATGGAGTGCGTTGAGATAGCAGTTCTGTAGGGTTTAGGAAGACCGTAAAGTTTGGTATTTCTTAGGTGACATTCTATGAGACTATACCACGATTTGTTTTCATTTTTAATTAGTTTTCTGATTTCCTTGATTAATTTTTGTGTTACAGCAATTATTTTTGCTCGTTTGTTTTCCGTGAGTCGCTGTAAATGAATTCGGCTAGATTAAAAAAGAAACGAAAAAATTAAAATTCCCAGATAGATAGATAGATAGATAGATAGATAGATAGATAGATAATCGGTTTCCTCACATCAATTCTAGGACAAATGCCCATAGAAAAATATGTCCGTAAATACTTTTTTTTGTGTTATTAAGTTTAAAGTAGACGCTTTTAAATGTACATTCCAACATACAATACAAAAATGCTTATTACTATAACTTGTGGTGCCACGGATCCTATCTCAGCAACATGATGCAATGATTCGTTTGCCTTTGGTCTGGAAACGCAATCTGATACAGCCACAGCCCAGTTTTCATTACCATTCGCGCGGCCGTATATAAAATGCGTATCTCCCTGCTCACTTTATGATTATCCTACCATTGTTAAACGGAACACTTCTCAATTAACCCATGTTAAACTTTGAAGACAAACTAACCACAAATCAGAGAAAGGAGATCAACATCATAAAAAGAAAAGCAAATTTTAGAAAACGTCCAAATAGAAAACGAATTGATAAGGACAAAATATGTCCGTTCAAAAGTACTTTCATTTAATAGTTTCTCATATGTAAGAATAGAAGCGAGTTATAATGATAACAAATGAATATTACTGTTTTTTTATTATACTTATAAAAGTTTGTGGTAGGTCCACGCCAGTCAGGTAGATATAGACATGTTGGTGAGATTTTAATGATAGATCAGTGTGGGTTGGTGAAAATCCAAATGAAAATAATTGCGGACGATGAAATTTAACGAAGGTGAAAAGTATTTATTTAGCGAAGTTTCAGTGGATGGAAACATGCGTCTTGTATTTTATTCTTATTTTATCATCAAACGAAAACGTACTGGTTTATTTATATACATTAGCAGAGTGTCTAACAAAAATGATGAGGTTATTTATATATTGATCCGTACCTCTTTCCCCGGAATTTTGACTAGTATCAGTGTATTATACGTGCGCCGTCCCTAACTTACTATTTGTAAATTAAATTTAACCTGCTGATTAAGCCGCAGAATGTTGATGTAATGGATACGTCATTTCCTTGCTTAAATATGGTTTATTCAGTTTGCATATTTGTTGTGAATATCCGACATGGACAAAGCAAAGAGCATCTGACAAATTCAGACATTTGGAATCAAATAATACAGTACGTGTTAATTGGTGTGTATGTGTGTGTCTCCGGTGCTTCCTAAAGGAAAATCCTTGACTAGATATTGTATACGCATACGAAGCATGTTAATCTTAATATTCATGAAAATGTTTCACAGGTTCTTTACTTTATTTATTTGATTAAATGTGTTGTTTTGTCGGAAGGGAAAAAACGTTATACAGATCTCCCTAAAGTCACATACACAAAATTATAAAAAATACATATTTTCAAGAAAATAAATTTTCAACAACATTTTATTGGGGTATTAACAAATAACATTTTCAATACGATTTCTATCATCTGTGATGTAAAGATTGATGCGCTTTGTAAGAATTACGCGAACTTTGTTCAATAACAGCACATCGCCGTCAATTTGAGTATATCCTCTTTATCCTCAATCAAGTGTGTTCCATCTGTGATTTATATTTAGTATATTTTCTCCTTTAACATACTCCAGAAAAAAGTCAGTTCTTCCTTCTTTCGACAAAACCATGTTTAATCTGTGAAGGTAAAAAATATAGTTAATGTATCCAGACTTTAGGGACACCCTTTATAGAATCCAGGACTAAAATCGAAGTTGCTAAACTATATGACAGAAATGCAGTGGTGCATTTCGCAGTTCAGAAAAATGCAAAACTTGATAGAAATGACTGGTCGAGCTATTTCCAATAACGATCGATTCGTTGAGAGTAAGACCTTGATTTGAACTTGTAAAATGACGGCTTCACGGAAAGCTATTTTATGCATATTTGTGTGTGTTTGTTTAAATAAAAATTATAGGTTGGAAATTCTATGTAAATTCGATTCATGTCGAAAATTGGTATCAATGTAAAATGTGTAATCTTGTCTGAAGATCAACAGCTTTCAAAAAATTAGTATGTGGAAAACATTTACACTAAATCATAATACATAAGTGCCCATGTTATTTCACACATACATGGCGTAATGAAAAACATTTACAAAAGAATTTAACAGGATATCTTTCGTATGTTAGAAAAAGAATTCCTTTTATATTTCCTTAATTTTGTTCTTAATATTGGTTGCATATTTCCATTTATTTATTGATTCAACTACTATGAATTGATTTAGTTTTCATTGATATTTGTTTTCTTTACTAAGCTTTGCTTACTTTGGTACAAGGCTATAGAAGCAATGGTCGCTAAATTTGGTTGCTAGCTACTACTCCACATAACAGGCTATTTGTGTTCTTTTATATATTTTATTTATAATTAAGTTCATTGTTGATATTTTATATTATTATTTTAGAGGAATGAATTATGAAAAATTGGCAAAAGTTTTCGTATGATGCGTTTCATCCTTTATGACTACATCGGACTAAGTTTATGTTTACGTTGATGTGATTACTACATGCGCACGAAGGACGCTGAGAATTTAATTTTTTTTTTTTCCTAATTTAATCTATATTTTGGGCATATAATCCAGCCAACCACATTCATATTTCCTCTCCTTCTTGCCATATATTCACTACTTTTCTCCCCAAATCCCATACAGCGACAATATAAAGATCTGCCAAGATTGGAAAAACGCCGCAAGAAACTTAACATAAATTCTCCAGCTTGATCAAGTGACAAAAGCACTTAGTATGGAATATTGGATGACAAACAAACATACATACATACATACATACATACATACATACATACATACACATACAGTAGTTGTATAGTACTATATATTTTAGTATTTTTAATATTTACATTTTAAAAAGAAGAGGCTTCTGGAGACATTCTGAACTTTTTACTGCAAAGTATTTGATCTATGTTATTAATATCTAGCACTGAATTAAGTGCATTGACAAAGAAGTTATTATATTCAAATAATAAATGATTATTATGTCAAATAGTTGTTATTCATCTTTAGTCGATACTATTACTCAGTTTCAATTTGTATATATATATATATATATATATATATATATATATATATATATATATATATATATATATATATATATATATTAAGTAAATATAAATTGCCAAACGACGATGGAACCGCATTAAATAGCAAAAAAAAACTGATAAACATTACGAAACAACGGCGCATAAACTGTGTACTCGTCTGGAACAAGGCAACAAACGTAAGGATCGAACTCGCGACATGATCAATGCACAACAAGATTAGCTCGTAATTGTTATCCAATTTATTTTATCTTTGCAAATTGAGGTTTTTAATTTATTTTCTACCTTTTTTCTAAATTTGTTTCTGATATTTTGTATTTTATATTCTTTTTTTTTAATTAAGAAAAGCAATTAAAAATGTTCCTTCAATTATTTTTCTTTGGGGAATATTAATTCTTGTCCAAATTTTTAATACTCAAGGCACATTTTCTCATTTCCACATTCCATATTATGAACCAAGCGATTAAAAGTTAAAATAAAAAGACTTTTTTCTGCTTGTCATCGCCGTTCCTCTCATCTTCTGCGCCATCTTCATTTCCTTCCTCTTCTTGTTGCGGTCCGCGACAATCATTGATAACTACAAAATAAAGAAGAAGAAAACCAATCATTTGCAAAGTTCTCTGGCAATAAACGTTTCCAAACAAAACGTTCATCTGCAAAGCAATTATACACTGTTTGGATAATCACACATTCTTTGCTTTCCTAAGAGTGGATAGATTGTTAATGAGCTAATCTAGTAGGCCGTTATTTGTATGTTGTGAGTTCGATTCTCATTGGGTCCATTTGTAGCCATGTCCGAGTTAAACTTGGCTGTCATATTAGTCAGGTCGTCTTGCAGATCAGTTGCCTGCTATTACGCTAAGATAAGTAAATCTGATCTGCTAAGAACTGAGGCTATACACAGCGAAATTCGCCTTCAAGATAAACTCGTTAATTATCCAACACCACAATGCAACTAACTTACTAAGCTTAGTTTAATCTTCTAATATATTCGGCAATATCAAGTGGCTTATCAAAGATTTCACTTAAATATCCGGTAACAAAATTAAAAGTCACGAATCTCGTAACCGGATAAACGAAGCACGTGACTATATTTTATAAAAAAATATCAAACAATGGTGTTTATAAACTCAAAATATAATCTTTATCTGAAATTTTAGATGAGAAATTATCATTATTGTATACTTATTTGTTTGCTTCTTGTTTTCATCTTGGTTGCTATCGTCACGACGCTTTGATCGTTGTATCTTCCGAGATTTTCCATGGATTTATCTTATTTGTTAATCTTTCTGGAATTTAGAACCGAAAATCTTGTTCAATTCACAAAACTAGATTCTCTCAATCCGTTGCCCAAACGAAGAATACTTCATAATTCTCTCGCATTAATTGATCCATATGATATTGCTTTGTCTCTTACACTGAACCAGGATATATAACGTATTCTCACTAACCAACGCAAGGATTGAACTCATTCGCTTAACCAAGCATCCTGTCCCCAGGGTCGTGTAGAACGAATTAACACCTTTTATCTGCCTGTTTGATTGAACTAGAGTATATGATTTTTACACTTCCTGTATAATAATTTGCAGAAACTATAGGCTCATGACATCTTTATATCGTAAATCAATATTCATTGCACAATACATGAACATCAATTCCCACCATCCGTTGAGAAAGGGGATCGCCTTCTGTCTGTAACATCAAGAAAAACTGGCGATCAGATACATAAAAATGCGTGATAATTTTATACAGCCTTCAGAGCAACAACTATTCTTCAAGAATAACTTCAGCTTCCACGAGCAACGATATAAGATCTGCGATAAGCACGGGATCAAGAATGAATTCAAAAGCAATTCCACTCTTTAGAATCATCTATCCAAAAACATGCACCCTTCAGAAGACAATATTACCAAGAATTGCTTCTATTGTTTTCCCTGTAGCAGGACAAGTCAAGCCGCTTACTAAATATAAGTCGGAAGGAACATCAGAAAGCCGTAATCCGTGACGATGAAACCAGGTATGGTTAGT